AAGCTGAGCACACACCCTTTCTCTAAGATGGAGAAAGACAGATGGCGGTGAAAAAAAAAAAAATCATCTAACAAAAGAACCACGGGCTGCTTTGGGCTAACCACCTGGAAAAGTAAGCAAAAGACAAAGTGGAGACAAGAAAGGCAGATACAGAGAAGGTTGAAGCTTCTCATACAAAAATAGACTCAGGTACGCGTAGCATTCAGTTTCCACAAAATCGTTGCTCATAGTTTTAGTCTCCATCCCAAGTGCGTATCTTTAGAACGCAACACCCTAGAGAGTAAATATGCGTTGTAAGCATCACTTTTCATACCAGAATAACACCAACCCTGCCCGGATTTCCAACGGGCTCATTTGGTGCCACCACCAAATCTGGGAGTTGACCAAGAATCCCAACGCAAGAAAATATGAAAGGGCCACAGAGTATAACGTATTTCGGGCAACCCACAGGGGAAAGAGGAATAAACCAAAGGTGGCAGAACATAACAGGGTGAATCTCAGCTCAAAAATGTCGTTATTCCAACAAAAAGGCAGTAATTCTCGTGAGAGGCACCCCCAGCTCTTCAGACCCCATTTGCGGACGGACAGGTGTGCTGGAAGGCTCCAGGTTACATATACTCACCTGCTCTTACCCCGGCCAAGTCAGAGAACCAATAAGGTTGCTGTGCTGTGAGAGTCAGGTGACTTCCCTTTGTTAATTCTCTAAAGCACCCAAGTTTGCTCAGAGGAAGGCAACTCCCCGGAATGTCTCCCACGTGAGCATGGCTGTCATTTCCTACTCTCTCTGGACTACTCTAATTTCCAACCCTAACCCCATGCTCTTGTGGCTACGGCATGAAACCGTGGATTTGAACAATCGGGTTGCCTACAGCAGTTTTGTAATGCAATAGACAGCTTTATCTCCTACAATGACGTCGTTGATGAATGTAGCTTTTTCCATTCTTGGGGGGGGGGGAGAAAGATGGAAATGGAATAAAACAAGGTTGAAATTGAATCACTATCACCCCCTGCGAAACATTGCATCTCGTTAGTAGTGATAACCACAGAAAAGGTAGCAAGAAGTATCAAACTGTGGGGAGTGTGTTTTATTTGCTGATTACCACTGAGTTCATTTTCGAAGATCCCTCCCCATCCCCCCACCCCTGGGCCCATTCCTTGTATCTTATCAGACAACAAGAGACTTAGATGGCATTTCCAACCAATCCAAGGAATCTTCTTGGGGATTCTGCTCAAGACGTTCTGGGTGGTTTTGCTCTAAGAGAGTTAGGTTATTTAAGAACATTGTTCTTGGCATGTAACAAACCGACTTGGATCCCAGCCATGCTAATCAGTGCTTCTCTGTTGGTCCAAAATTGAACCTGAGTTTGTGCCTCATTTTCTGCTTCTGTAAAATAAGGCTCTAATTACCTAGGTTGTAAATACGATTTCAAGATTAAATGAAACAATATACAGGAAATGAGAGGTAAAGTACCCCATGCAATGAATAAGAAGCAGATAATCCTACTCTATCACTTCAGTAACTGAAAAGTTAGTCCTCAGAGAAATGTTTTCCATCATGAAGGACAGGTATATTTCCTCTCAGGACATTAGAGAAAATTCCAGAGGCGAGGAAGGACATACGCACATGTACATACAATCCTCACAGGGTCTTCTCACGACTTAAATGCTTTGAGCCTCACGTGAAAGTATTCTCTGTCTGTGCAAACCTTAATATTCTCAAGTCACACCGTACAATGACCCGAACTGCTCATACTCTAGAAACGCGAGCATTCTGGGAAATGAATCCCAGCCATGATGTGGCTGAGCGACATCCACGTCAGAAGATCAGTGTCGGTGAGATAGAAACATCAAAACTTGCATGGAAACGTGCTTTCTCACAGTCAGCCCTACAGTCCATTTTTGTCCCCTCCGTCCACATTTCTCTGCATTTCTCCCAAGCTACGGTGCCATTTAAGACACGCACCTTCGCGGACTTGCACTGAACTGGCACGGAACCGCGTACTCCGAAAAGGCATCCCTCAAACACAAAACCCACGAGGAGCCACCTGAGGAATTTCCACCTCGGCCTCCTTCCCTCCGGTACATGGAAACCTCTCCATCCAACAATACGCCTATTAAAACACGTTTCTATGACCGTGGTCCCCATGACCATCGCATACCAATTGCCCTGACAGCACAACTCTTGAAATTTTCAGAGAACCCAAGAAAACCAAGACGCCTTACGACTTACACGGCAAGTTCTGGTTAGAACGTCCCATTCCAGACTTCAACTACAAGAGAACATGGGAACAAACTTTTAAAGTCAAACATACAACTTTCTACGGAACATTTCTCCTTTGTTAGAGATGCCGACGGCGCTTCAGGTCCTGAGGACGGGACTTGTTCCTCTTTGAAAGGTGACATTTAATTCACCCACTTCTCTTGTCCGAAAAGGCCCCGCCCATATCCCCAGACCAGAGCCCCTCAAATAGAGGATGGTCAGAAGGGTGGCTGGACTACAAGAGCAGGACTTGACAGCTCTACAGCGGACTCTGGTAAGGTCAATTCTTCTGGAAATACCTTAAGAGTCCATGATCTACGGTCATTTGTCCTTTTGTTTAGGCATGGTGTGAGTCACAGAGAGGGGTTAGGGGGTGTGCATAAGAATAGGCATTCCGCTGTGGCAACCACACTTGAAACGTGCTCCTTTCACTCTTCCCGCAGGCATAAACACGTGGGGTCTATTTAAAATTGGCCAGTTTTGAAAACATACACACGCACACGCACACACACGCACACACACGTATAAGCCAGTGTTCTCCAGGAAGTGATGAAGTCTAAGAGCGTGATAATATGATACTTATTAGCCAGAAAATAGAGGTCTGAAAGGACAAATGACATACTCTAGTGATACTTGGGAACTTGTAAGAATCTCAAGGGTTCGGACCGGAGCTGCCCAATGGGCCTTCCCGAAATCACGGAAATATTCTCTATAGGTTCTGTCTCATACATGCACTTGAAACGGGGCTAGCTTGGCCGAGGACCTGAACTTTGAAGCTTAAATCTTATCTAAATTTGATTCATTTCAACCAACACGTAAATAGCTCTATGTCGCTCCTGGCTACCACACTGGACATACAGCAAGTTCAGAGCCATCACTCAACATTCCCCAAGAGTCTCTACACAGCACCAATTTTCTCAAAAACCACCCTACCTAAAAACAGGTCTCAAACACGCGCGCTAACGTTCATGACCATGCGATTGCAAAGATCAAGGCGAAGAATAAATGCACTCGCTCTACTGGTTGGACCTGTGTCGGACGCTACACTTGCCCTACAGGCATTTCCATGTCTGCTATGGTCTACGGAGAGAGAGGAGGAAAAAGAAAAAGAAAACCATCCACCGCTGGCCTATTTTGCGATCAACGTGTCTCTGCATTTGCAGACGGCTGAAGATCGGAGGTCCACGCGCCAGCAATCAGATAAAGCGGAAAGCGGGTAAGTTTCAAAATGTATTTTGCCAGCATGGAGCGCAACCGCAGGGCCCAATAACTCCGAAGCTTCGAGGGCTCTTAAACCTCATTCGCTTGAAACTGGCCTGCAAATGAACAAGCAGCCGAAGCCCAGAGAGGCGCGGTGCTTGGTGTCCCTGAGACAACAGCCCAGGTCCATCCCAGAGCTCTCAATCTGTGTTTTCTCCACCATGGCCCGCACTCTCGTTCTGCTGAACACGGACCGACCGAGCGCCGCAAACAGAAAGGGCCTCATCTGCAGCCATACTTGCCCAGCCTCTCTGGTGAGCAGAAAACACAGTGTTTGAACCACACTGCTCTACCCAACACAGAGGCTCCCTCCACTAACACGGCACTCCTAAAAACCACGCCATTGGCACAACTCACCAAGCGCACTGTGGAAAAGTAAGCGATAATACACAGATGCCTTCGGAGAATGTGTCGCAGAGGGACGGTTTTTCAGTTTAACGTGGATTTTGCTAGAGAAGTGGCTTTGACACAGACGTCACTTTAAGACGGCCAGATCCACATTTCCAAAGCCAATGGCTACTCATGCTGTGCTTTGGGTGACTCAACGGGCCCATGGAAAGATAGGAAGACAGAGGCAAACCATCACGTTAAGGAGCAAAAACAAAGAAACATCTTCCTTTCAGATCTGGAGCTTAGCTATGGAGCTCAAAATTCTCCTTCCTCAGGTGAAAAACAAACAAACAAAAAAAGGAGGCGGCAGATTGTAACGGATTTGTTTCAAGTCCCACAGCCGGTAAAGTAAAAGAATTGAGTCCTGGGGGTGGGATTTCTGTCTCTGGGTTCAGGGCTTTTGGTCTGGCTAAAAACTACAGCAAGACAGAGGTCTACAAACCAGAAAGAGGAAGAAAGGAACAGTTATCCTGGATACGTCACTGTGGTTTTAAAAGGTCTGTTATTTTCAATTTGAGTTATATTCTGCCATAAAATGTTCCATGCTCTTTTGATGTAATCACATGGAGTATGTTTTTTAAATGGTTTTATTTATGTATTTATTTATTTATGCGTGTATGTATGCGTGTATGTATGTATGTATTTATTTTGCGGGAAAGAGGCAGAGAGAGGGAGGGAGAGAGAATCGCAAGCAGGCTCTGCACTATCAGCACAGAAGCTGACGTGGGACTGGATCTCACGCTTCGTGAGACCATAACCTTAGCCGAAATCGAGAGTCAGGTGCTTGCTTAACCGCCTGAGCCACCCATGCACCCCCTCACGTGGAGTACCGAGAGAAGAGAGAAAATTATGTTTCAGGAGCTATACAAAAGTTCTGGGGATAAATCCACTTTATTGCCCGAATGGTACAAACTTTCCTGGTCCTCAAATAATCTTCTGCAGATAAATGCCACACGCTGCTGGTAAGTGCAAGAGATAAACAACGCTGCACAGTTTAAATGTCACGTACGTTGAATTGTATAACATGCTCTTATAAACGAAGCCATACGAGAAAAAAGGAAACATTAAATAAATACAGTGATGGGCTTACATTCTGGTGTTGCTGGTCTTGTTGATGATAACAGATTTCCCTGTTTGATCCACATTGTGATCCAACCCAAAGTAAGCTGCCACTCGATGGACAAGCATTCTCTGGTAGGATGACATCTGAGGGAACTTTTTATAATGATTACTGGAAAGGAATACAGGACAGAGTGGGATCAGCATTGGCCTTTCCGGCCTGTAGTACATTTTACAGGTACACACACAAAACCAGTCCTTCCCCATCCAAACCGCTAGGCTTAGTTCATCCTCGGTAGCATCTCAGGTGCTCGTTTCTGGACACTTTTCCGCTGATGATGTATCTATCGATTAAGCTACAAGAAGTGTCTTTGTTTCATAGCTGCACGTTTCTCTCAGCAAAGAGAACCTAATGTCCGTTGGAAAGTATTCTCTTCTAGTCCGTGATACCTTATCGGCACAGCCAGGCCCAGGACAAATGATATGACATACTATGTGACAGCAGATGCCTATCTGGAGATGTGTCATTACACGGTTTACACAGAAAACAGCGCAATTATGCCCAGGCATCACTGACTGCAGCCAGCTGGAGCCCATTAAAAAACTATAATAAAAATGAAAAGGGTTGCCTCTTGTCACAGCTACTCTATGCTAATCAGCGGCCCCCTGTTTATAGCCATTTTGTCAGGAACTTAACAAGCAGAAACACACATGGTCCAAGCAACAATCCCCATCAATATATAGCTTCTAATCCTAACAGCATCCCCACTCACCAAATCGGCAAACATATTAAGTAATGTTTTATCTATCCCTCAGTCTTTCCAGAACGCATCATTAAACCCAAAGCCCAAACCAAGACCCCATCGTAGAAATTAACCCGCCTTGCAGTGGAACATACTTGTTGTCACCAATGAAATCAATAATCTCCTGCTCCATTTTCAAGAGTATCATCCTGTCCCTGCAAAATAAATGTTACAAATGAGAAGGTCGGATGGACTGGCCATTCCCAAAGACCAAATAAGTTCGTTTGCATGTATGACAGAGATGGTTTGAAGGTACGTGACTCCAGATCTTTAACGCTTCTCTGGAACGTGCTGCCCATATACGTATGATCTCATTCCACTGGAGATGATTTCTCCTTGTAACATTGAAACTTCTGTGGTTTTTGTGTTACTGAAGACATATGAGGAATGAAGCCCATAAAACATATCAGACACATTGTAGATTCTAAATTAATAGGAAACTGGACCAGAGCAAAGCCCAAGTAGAGAGTTATATAACTGCAGTGGAACATAATTTGGCTGATTTGACATTGATTCTTGTTCTCTGTCCTTTCCCCCTTAATCTCTTTGTGACCAGGAAAGCAGAACCCGTAAACTGTAACGTATTCACTAGAGAGCTACCCAGGACTCCAGAGTTATCTATAAGCATCGTACGGAAAGCAATTTGACAATAAATTTCATATATTTAAAAAAAAAGAGTATCTATAAGCAGTACACATGCAAACTATTCGCAGAAAAAATATAAAAGAACGCTTAAGACTTTAGAAAAGGTGCCTGCATTTTACAACTCTGTAAAGTGTTCGCCCGAACCACTCTGCGATTGTCCACGCGACTCTTCTAAAAATAAGAGGCTTATTTAATAATTTACCTGGAATTATTCTTTAATGTGTTAATCAGAAACTCATGCAAGTCTATGCCAGTCGAATCCGTGTATTCTTGGCTGCAATCTGAAACAAACAGCAGGATGGAGTGGTCAGGGATGCGGATGGGGAAAACAGGGTAGCAATGTTTCCCTCTCGCTTGGGTACATTTCAGGTGAAGCTACTGGCGTGAACGGGACGTGTTTCGAAACTAGCAAACTGGCAGGGTAACGCCAGAATGAAAGTCAGGTTCGCGACAGAGGAACCCAGCAGATCCCGAGTATGGAAAGCGCCAGCTGTCACAGGATGGGGCGTGGGCACGGTCAGGTAGGAGGTGGGTGGGGTGAAATGTCACGTGTTCCTTCCCTGCTGTACATCAGCGAGGCCCCTCCACGTGACAGACCCACAGAGAGAACTCTGAAGAGTTTGGGATTCCAAGAAATCCCTTTTCTCTTCACCCCGAGAAGGCAAAAAATACAAGTTCTGTGGCAAGGCTGTCTAAATATCAATCAGTGCAAAACACAGGAGGGCACTAAATAATCTCCAAGTCTTTCAACTCTTCTGATGCTGGCTAAAGCTTAATTTCTAAAGCCATTTAACCTGTACTTCTTTACTCGTGTTACACCTCGGGTTTTAGATCTTCAGTAACAGAGGCCATAGGTAGAAGCAGATACATGGTTACAGAGCATACAAGTAGCAGATGCCCTATTCTGCCTCAGTTGCTTAAAAAAGAAAAAAAGAAAAAAAGAAAAGGAAAGAAAAAGTCTACCGCAAAGCTACTTACTCATGGTATTCTTCATTTCAACCTAACTTAGTTTTGTTTTACTTTGCGTTTCCTTTTTTTGTTGTGGTGGTACTTTTGTTAACAATGAGACAAGTCTGGAAGACGGGTTCGGGGATTTAGAAGGCAAAAAAGCGCGGTTTGTTCTTGGAAAAACTTTATTGAAGGAGAAGCGTGTATTTTTTAGGTGAGACATTATGTGGCAGTATATGGGTGGCCAGAGGCCAAATCCATTTGTGCCAAATACAATGTTACTCACGTATGCCATCGACACTGATGTATACATCTGTGCTTTGGGGACACTATCACTCATTGGCTGTGAATTGCTAATCCACTGTCTGTCTTTTAAGATAAATAGGGAAGTGCAGCTCTAAAACCAGGTATCATTACTGCTCCTCAGCCCACCTTAACTGGGCCAATAAACCTGAATTAAGAGATTTATGCTCACTCCTGTGCACCAAGTTACCACTGAAAATAGAAGACCCAAAGGAAAATCCAAAGAAATAAAGGAGCCTAAAAATAACCTTTCTGGCTCCACAAATAATGACACCGCGAACAGAAAGAAAATAGAGTTCACACCTTTTACACACACACACACACACACACACACACGTACACACAGAAAAGTATAGGCAGAGTTTGGTGGCAGGGAGATGTGTGTGTAAGTCTAGGATGTGCTCTGTGACTACTGATCTGTCCAAATTCAGTAAGTTAAGGAAACATGTTCACATTCACCTTTTGATAACATTCTGATCTTGGGCTTTTCAGAGGTTTTATCTTTGTTTTTATCCTTTTCTTTTTCTCTTTCTGAGTCATCTTTCCTAGATTTATCATCCTCTCGCAGGCTGGGAAAACTGGAAAGCTGTAAATGAATTGATTCCTGTTGAGGAAAAAATATAATAATTTAGGGCCAGATTTAAGAATCTCGGTCTGGTTTCCATTTTGCAAAGAGGTTATTAAATACAGGAAAATGAAAGCCAGGAGCAGGTTTTTTGTTTTTTTTTTTTTCTTTTTCTTAAATGGTAAAAAATTAAACCTGTCAGAAAAATAATTGCCCTTTAAGGTGAATTAAACTTCAGAAGTCAATGGGAGTTCATGAGAAACATCTCGTACTAGAACTTGGCCTCATGAATATTCACATTAAGCAAGTCACTTTCTCCTAGATCATACCTCTTATTTTCCCTACAGATTTATTTTTAAACACTTAGGAACCATTTCCTTATCAGTAAGCTTGCATCACGGCCACTGTCATGTCTCAAAAAAAAAAAAAAAAAAAAAAAAAAAGAAGAAGAAGCCTTCCGAGTTCTTTTCTATAATCCCTTATAAGGAGAAATCTGCACAAAGACAGACAGACAGATATTACGAATCATAATTACAGATGGAACAGACATAAAGGCCTTAATAGCCGATTTGCACTGAAAAGTCTGTCTTAGAACCACAAAACAAGGATATCTACTACTGAGAAAAACCAAGCTGTCTAAATGCAGGAATCCTGGGCAGGGGTTCTTATCACACACTGTGTACAAACTCCATTGATAAGTCACCGTAATATATGGCTACAATAAGCATTGCCTTTTAGAAAAGGTAGGAGGCACAACTATCTGGTCCATCAATTTAGTATTTTAATTTTTGCATCAGTCAATCCTTTCCAAAATGGAAAATTCTCTTGAACCAATGCTTTGGTATACAACTGACTGTTTACAGTATTGGAGCTGGATTCACTTTTATATTTATTCCGTTTGCACTGGAAACAGCTCATTTTGTTTTAACTCATGCAGCAGCCATTTGGTTGATAGTATGTTCACCGTTTTGAAGAAGAATGAGCCAAATTAGATCGCTTAGTTTTTTGACAAGCCCAAGCTATGATTAAAACTATGACAAATTAACCAACATTAAGCCCACTTTTGCTTATGTAAGAGATCGTTTGATGGGAAAGGTTTTTCTTCCTACCGTGACATTCAAATTTATGACGTTAAAAAAATATATCCCCAATGACTAACAGTGTTCCTCACTAAAAACTAAACTAATGCTCCTATTCACGTGACAAGATCGAGGCCTGCACACCCTCAAATTATGGCCGACCTAGGATTCTTAGGGTTCTTGGTAAACCCGGCTGATCTGAGAAGCGTAACACAAGGCCTCCCACACCAAGTTCGTTTTTTAGGAGGGGTTACCTTGTGAACTCCTGGCTGGAAGAAAAAGACACCGTGGTTGGAAAGACATAGGATAGAGAGGATGAAATCAAACACGTTCTCATGACAGATATTTATCTTAGCCAGATTTCCTGACATCCACGTGTTTCCCTTGGGGTGCACTTACACAACATACGTAAAACCGAGTGTAACTTGATTATAGGTTCTTTGTCATGTGATTTGGGACAGAAACGTCTTAGTCTGCAAAGGCTCAGGCAGATTTTAAGGCTTTGATTTGCTTCTACTGGCTAAGGGAACAGCTGGAACGTTTCTGCTTCAAGGGAATACAGTCGGGGGCGGGGAAGGATCAGTTCAATAGTTGATCAGGAGGGGAAACTGAGGGCACCAGGCCATGGGAGTGGTCTCCTTGCTTCTCCAAAACCGACTGCATCCCCCGCCTCTGTCAGTTTGCAGCTACGATCAGAGAGGGTTGGAAGCATACACACAAGAGCAGAGGCTAAAAAGCATCCTCCACCAAAAAAAAAAAAAGAAAAATGTACAAACTCACGTCACGTGTGGACAAACACTATTCTCGGGAAAATACCTCGCTTGTCTAGGCATCAGCATACATTATGGTGTTGAAAGAACACACAAAAGTGCTATAGAGTTGGTAAAAAACAATCTGTTATTTTTTAATATTTTTATTGATATGCTCAATAATAAAATACAGGTATTAATTGATACATCGGTACAGGATAAGTTTATATCCAACAACAGTAAAAGAATGATTCAAGTCACAGTAATACACTGGTAGGTAAATCGTAGAACATTTGGAAAGCAAAGCTCCTTTGACTGAAGGACAGACTGAACCGTCAGCTATGGGTCTGAGATCAAGTAATACAGGTAGCAAGAGTTTTTCCCCACACAGGAAGATGAAGGCAGTTTTCCAAGTACTGTGAATATACAAATATTAGGGAAGCAATACAATCCATATAAACGTATACCTCTGCCGGGGTTCTCTGGGATTCAGTTCCCACGTTTTGTAAGTGCCAGTGGTACCTAATGAAGGCATCGCATATAAGCTCAAAGGTCTGCTTCTTTACTCTCTAAAAAGGAACGTGCCCACTCACTAACATGCGTGGTCTGGGTATTTCCTATCGGCCGTCTGCTCCCGCCTCCCCTCAGCCAGCCCCAAGAGGGGTGCGCAAGCTCTAAACCTCTCCTACAAAGCTAGTCTTGGCCACTGAGCTTGAAACCAGCGGGAACAGAGCACCCTTGGCCTCTTAATTCTCTGCACCAATCGTACGGAGAAACCGGACTCGGGCCCAGGACGGGCACTACAGTACCGATGATCTCCTTAAAAATGTCCTCCTGGTACCTCGTCAAATGGGACGAAGAGCAGATTAAGTCTATAAAGGCTGTCCTCCTCTGTCGGGTGTTAGGAGTGGGGGACAACCGGGGCATGACTGCTCCCAGAGTCTGTCATTTTGCAGAGTTAACATATACCGCGTGTGGTACGTTACAAGCCGTCGATCAACATTTAATAACACAAGCCGGGATATTCGCGTTATTTCCCCTTTTCAATCTCCATGAAAAATAGAAGCACGTGTAAAATGCTGAAGGAAAGCCACACACTTCTCAGAGCCCAGGTAAAATAAAGCTTGTGTATGAAACATAGTGATGGCTAGAGAAAGGACAGCCTGTCTATGCCTTACGACATGAGTGGCATATTGCGAAAACGAAGCTAGGGGGAAAAAAAATACTCTTAGGACAAAATCTATAAGGTATTTATTTTTGGTCCTTTTAAAGAAAGTGCTCTCAATGCTCTCTGCATCCACGAGGAGAATTTAGAGTATTTCAATTAAAGTAAAAAGAGGAAAGCCAACAAAAGCACACAAAAACAATGATATCTTAATCAATTTTCTCTCCCCTGGGCTCAGATAAATCCTTTTACTTTTGTCTGGACTTCTCTCAGCCTCTGAAAAAGCAAGGAACATTTCGGCAGCTAGACTAGTTTTTTATAAAAGCCGATACGATGCCTAAAAGGCAAACAAAAATAAATACGATATGAAGTTCCCGTTTTGTCACGGGAGGGTTTCGTCAGAATGTGAATTTTCCGACCCCGATAGTCTCGCTGTAAGGAGCACACCTAAGTGGAAGGACCCACAGCGACAGATAAGAATATGAAATTCCTATAAATTTAATCATATGAAATTCACCACCAGCTCGGATTCACTTCTGGCCAATTGTTCCAGGATTCAGAAATCTCCACCAAAGTCCTTAAAAATAGGTCTCCAAAGCTCAATGCACCTTCTTCACTGTTTCTAAAGTTTTGTAAGAGCCAAGAGTTGTGTTTCTTATAGGCAAGTGCATTTGGGAAGTGAGAGGTAAGAACGTCCCAGAAGGAAGGAGAGTGGACACTAAGGACTGTATTTGGTTCAGTCTTATCAAGAGAGAGCCTTTGAGGAAACTCAGCACGACCGTGCTTACTTTTTAAGTGTTTTATCTAAATTCTTTTGACATTCCTTCCCATTTGCAGTTTTCAGAGAGTCTGGAAAAAAACAAACGTAACACTCTGTGACACACTGTTCAGCTAGTTTAGCACAGCTCATCAACGGGGGACGAAGCCAGCAAACTCTTTCTTCCTTTGATTATCTTTCTTTTCTCCCCCAAACCAGTGCGGAGTGCCAGCTTTCCACTCATGCACACGCACACCACGAGAGATCCCATTCGTGCAGCTAATGGAAATGACAGGGGGTATGTACCTGGTCCTGAAGACTTTCTCCCCCTGGTCGGGCCGAGGATTCTTCACAGACAGCAAGGCTGCGAGTCAGTTTACCTTTTCCCGCTCCTGACTGGGGAGGGGAGAGAAGAGGCAAGGACAGGAAAATAAAGACAACAAGCAGAAGACGTCCTCCGGCTGTCAAATCATCTCCCCCCCGCTTCACAGGACACCCCCAAGTCAGACTTCGGACACCAAGCTTCGAACTGGGGGCTCAGTGCTGTCTGTGTGCCTTGGCTCCCAGACTGAGCCCCCTGGGTTGGTGGGGACGCAGGAGGAGGAGGAGGTGACTGCGTGGATGTAAGGAAGGAACGCTTTTAGCAAACTGTGCCCATCACATCGGAAACATACAAAGAATGCCTTGCTGCCATCTCCTGATCATCTAAGGAGGAAGAGATGACGGAACTAACACTGAGTTTGGGAGGGATCTGAATGGAAACGATGCTTCAGAAGACGAGGAACGGGATCGAAACACCGGCACCTGTTTACTTCGAGGGAGAAATCCACCGGGGCGACTAAAACGTCTGCCCCAGGTGTCGCGCAAAAGGACAGCCAAACAAGCCGGGGCTCACTGTGTAAGGCACTCTCAAATCTGCAATTGTGAAAAACAGGATCAGATACACACATCTGCGGCCACGTGAACACTAAGCGCTCTAATTGCAAAGCCTACGGAGCCAGGGAGAAAAGACAAGTGTCAACAGGACCCCCTTCCAAGCGGGCAGGACCAGGAGAGCCAACAGCCACACGCGACCGTTTGAACTGTCGGCAAATCTTTTCACCCCAGTGTAGACTATGCGACTGACATCCATGATATCACGTCAATGTGGAATCTCCAGAATCCTACCTTGGATTTTCTTCTTTCTTGGTTCTGAGCTGCCAGCCGCCTCTGTGTGTTGGAAACAAAGTAAAACAAACAAACAGACAGTAAAACAACAACCAGAGAGAGAGAGAGAGAGAGAGAGAGAGAGAGAGAGAGGTGTCACTAGAGTCCAGAAATCAATAGGAACAATAAGGTCTTATAACCACTGAGAAGGACACCCCTCCCCCTCTCCCCCCAACTTTTGACCTTTTTAACTTTTAGCTCCTTCTCCTTAGAGCAGCTATGCAAGGGGGGGAAAGCTGACCTTGAAGGCTTTTGGCCATTATGTGGTTATCTGCCTTTGTTCACTGGTACATAAAAAGAATGAACACTATTGTAGTTTGGTTCAAAGAAAATCAATACAGGCTATTGGCAAATACGGTTGGTTTTCCCTCTACCAAATCGCCTTCTCTCATAAATCATGGTGTATTTAATCATATCACCTTTTCGGTACTGTCAGTCACTCCCAACAGCCCCAATACCCCCCTCCATCCCTGGCCTGCCCTTTTCTAGGGCTTTCTCTCTGTCTCTGTTCCTCTCGCCCTCTCTCTCTCTCTCCCTGGCTGTGAATTCTAGGGCTTAGGTTGGTTGGCTAATATGAACTGAATCTTAGCCTGCCCTCAAAGGTCCACAGAGCTCACGCCTTTGATTTTTCTTAGTCTCATGATAATGAGCTGAGTCTTCAGCTTTCCGTGGAAGAGCAAATGCATTTTTAAGTCTCAGCCAGCCTCAAGCTGCCTCAGGGAGAAACCCTTCTCAAGCTCCATGAGGTGGTCTGGAAATCACTCTGGAGATGCCGTGTGCAAATTCAGTCCTCAAAGAGGATCTCTGGCCCTTGCTTTCATTTCAAAGGGCATTCCGGAGCACGTTTTGCTCGGGAAGAAAAAGTAATTAATAATTAGGAAAGGAGAGGATTAGCTTTATGGATTTCCTATTCATTTCGTAGTCAAACTCTCCAGTGGAGACAAAGAAAAGAAAGAAGAAAAAAAAAAAAAAAAAAAGGAAAAACCTCCCAAGCGCTCCGAAAATAAAGGAAAGGAACCGCACCCAGTTGTGCGAGAGACTAGGTTTCCAGGCTCACCTGCAATTCGAGTTTCTCCTCTTCATCCAGACTCTCGGATTTCACAATGCCATTCTCTGGGGTGGCCGACTCCTGCTCAGTCCCGCCTTCCTCCACGATGGCCGGATTCAGGTCTCCTGGCTCGGACATCCTCCCGGACGCAAATTAAAATCGCAAGGTTCGATGCCCTACGAGGTGAAGAAGTCAGAACGTAAAGTCAGCGCACTGTAGAGCCTTGACTGTTATTCCCGGGGCATTTCATGTCTCCTTTTGTATTCGAATTCAAATGAGCGACTCGGGCGGCTCTGTCACTGTGACACAAGGGGAGAACGACGAAGCCAGATCAAATCCAGTACCCAAGGCAAACGCGAGAGGCAGATTCGGGTGCCCTCTCCACCCCCCCTCCGCACCCATACACACACACGCTTGCGAATACACACCTTGCCATCAAAAGGGATCGACAAATCTTAGGTGGAGACGTGGAACTCCCACACATCTACCAGGCCCTATGCCCCACGACAAAGCAGGGGAGAAAGAGAAACAGAGTCTCCGTCCAACTCTTGGAAGAAACGACCCTCCGCCGCCGAGTCACGGGGTGCTCTGGGTGTTGGGCAGCAGGCCCCAGACGATTCGAAAAGTATTTGCGAGTTTTCAACCGGAGGCACGCTTTCCCAGGCACGGGGAATACAGGACGCCGTGCAAGGGGCAAAAAGCAACCGAAGAGGTAAGGATTCCGTTCGTACACGGCATCTAAATTTGGCAATAACACTTTCAGGGCCAACGCTCTCCGGCTTCAAACTGACAGCCCCGTTACTGAAGGCAAAAGTGTTCTCCCAGGCTCCCACCAGCCGCTGGGGCCGCCCCGACCCTGTAGAAGGAAGTCTCTGGAAGGCGGCTCTAATGAAGCTATGGCCACTGAGCCCTGCTCCTCGGGGCTCACACTAGACCACTACATGGACACTGGAAATGGCTTTCCAAAGGGAGAGCCTGTTACTATCTTCTGTCCCCCGACCCCATACCACCCCTGACCCTTCCCCTTCCTGATGGGCCGTCAACCGAGGTGCATGAATGACTGAGCATTTACTTCCCCCTCGGTTTTTCTTGTTTTTTTGTAAGATGTGAGAAAAAACGCAGAGGAGAGGGACGAAAGAAATACGGAAGGAGTGAAGGAAGGAAAAAGAAAACGAGAAAGGAAGACACCGTGACCCAGAAAGTCCATCTGTCCACAAAAGTTCTTCCACAAAATTCCCCCAAAGGGAGGGCTGTTCTCCTACCGCTCATTACCACGGTGATTATTATCGGACACGATGGTGGTAACGTTTCCCTGGGAGTGTTTAATGACCATTTACTAAATTCAGGCACTTGACTTCCAACTGCATAGAGGAAGCATGAGAAAAATCTCGACCACAGCAACTTCTGTGGCAAATCTGCTAAGATCCACCGTGACAGAACAGATGGCACCTAATGATATCTTTAAAAACAACGCAGGCTTCCTCAGCAAAGGATTATGGGAATGCCAAAGGAAGACTTGCCCAAAGGCTGGTACTCGAGTCTGTGAGTTACTGGTGAGCAATGCTTTCAAGTCGGAGGAGGCTTTAGGATCTTCCATCCAGCGTATTCAGACGGATGCCTCACACTTTAGTGACACTGGCTGGGCTATGTGTGTAGCTAACGAAGGTTGTTTCTCGAGGGCAAACACCGTGTTTCTCAACCTATTGGGTAGGGGGAGGCGATGGGACTTCATGGCCCTGACTCTTTCTTCAAAGCCTTTCAACGAGAAAGGAGATTGTGACCAACTTTAAAATGGAAGGAACAGATCGAGCTCTACTAACTTTATAGACTCTAAGCCAGTTGAGTCCCTGTCATAGATGCTGTCTGTAGTGGTTACACTCACGGACCTCTTCTTGGCACACGTTTAGACAGTAACAAAATACAGATGAGCTGACAGCCAGACAACGAGGCCTTTACCTTTCGTGCAGAGCTCCTGACGTAGGTCTTGGCGACTTACTGGCGGCTTCTGTCGCTCTACCCCGGGAAAATCCACACCAGTGATCAGAGACAACTGGAGTCCCATGTCCCCATTAACAGTTCAGAATGCCCATCTCCCTGCGATTCCCTTACACGGCGTGACCCATCGTCAACCTGAAAGAAAGACGAGAAGTCAATAATCATAATGGCAACGGTCACGGCGGGGCGAACGGCCAAAACAATCGGACCCGATTTCTAACGCTAATGACCAGCTTCCAGCAAATCACGTTCACAGCTCCATCAGCCCCACCTGTCTCGGGCTGCCTGCTTCTTCTCTAACGAAGGCTACAGCCCGACTGTTCAAGTCAGAGCGGCACCCACGCAGGGAGCTAAAATTAACGATTGCATTATGCGCCGAAGATTACTCACTTCAATTTTAACCTTTTTTAGTGAAATCTCGCACTTTATATTAAAAAAAAAAAAAACAAAAAACCAACAACCAGCCTGCCTCAATGAGCATCCACATCACCCTGTGAGCTAAAAGTCTTGCCTCCTTTTTTAAAAAAAACCAAAGGCTCTTTGCTTCAATCGTAGATGAGTATCATATAGTCTAATGCCGTTTCCGTGCCTCCTTTTTAATGAAGCGTACTTGAAGATTTTGATTTAGCGAGCATTGGCTGTAACAGTTAAAAAAAAAAAAAGAAAGAAAGAAAGCAAGAAAGAGAAAAGAAAAAAGAAAACTTTCACCGTGGCAGGGCTGAGAGCACTCGTGCCCTCCCCACTTCCAGTCTGGCATGAAGAATTCCTAATATTCTCCTTGGGCAGTTGAGCACAGTCTCTCCCCGTTCCCCTCCCTCCCCGCCAGGATTGCCACCACCAGCTGGGCTCTCAGGATTGCCACCACCAGCCGGGCTCTCAGGATTGCCACCACCAGCCGGGCTCTCGGTTTGACAGCAAAAGAAACGCTGTCAGATTTGCAAACTTGGAGCCCGTTGGAAACAACCCCTCGCTCTCGTGTGCATTTTCTCTTTCTCACAACTGCTACGGGGGGGGGGGGGGGGCAGCAAAGGCAGCTCGAACGCAAACCCAGAGACGGATCCTTGCTGACGTTTGCCAAAACCAAGCATGGGTAGCTCTCCCTCCCGCGGCAACCCTGGGGCACGCCTGCGAACTCCCAACTGCACGGACACCTCTCCCCATTATACGCCCATCTTTGCAAACACCCGACTGCAGCTCAGTTGTTGTGTCCCGAGTTGAGAAACGCTCTCTGCCTTCCCCGGGCCCCCCCCCCCCCACCCCAAGTTTAAATGAGCACAGCTGGCTCCTCACCAGATTTTACCGTGGCTCTAAGGACAACATATTGGATTACAACACCATTTGTTGTGCAAGGGGGGAACAACTGTTGAAAGCGGGATCACTAAAGGAGTCAGTGATTTCTAGTCTCATTCCTGTCTTATTACAACGGCCAAGTCGGCTCTCCGATGCTTCTTTTGTTGCTGAACACCATGCCGCTATGAGAGAGAAGCAAACGTGCGTTTAGGGCAAAAATGGATCGCTCATCAACAGTCATTTCAAGTTTTCAATTTCGACCGGTTTCACCGCGGCCACTTGGCTAACACGCGATATTAAATAGAAGTCAACACGTCTTACAATTAGGATCTATTTAAGTAACCAGCCCATTATCTGATATGTCTCAGAATAGGCACCAGTGATGGATGGCATTACCACATGTTCTGTGGCTTCTGTTTTCCTTTTCCCAGAGAAAATGAAGTTTTCAACGATCACCGCGATCGTTTGGTCTTCCTTCTCTGATCCTTATATCTGCAAAGTGGCATTTAATCCAGCAGGTGAATGGCAACGTAGTTTTCAAATCTAAGCCTCCGATGCATTATTCCAGCCCCAGCAGGTGGATACAAGATATAATTCTTTCCACGAAGAAAGAGGAAGAACAAACTGGTATTCACGTAACCAACCCAAAGCGGGAACAGCCTGGATGCGTGTGTGTGTGCGTGTGTGTGTGTGTGTGTGTGTGTGTGTGTGTGTGGCGTAATTACCAGGACACGTTTCGAAATAGCACCGAGCTCCAAAGTCAGCGAGGTATTATTCTTGCACGCCTGAATCATAAAGTTATCATCTACCGGGATAAAAGAGAATATGGGCAGATGGGGATGAGCAGAGGAACATACGGATCACAAATATTTTTGTAACTGATTAAAATTGTTCTCTTTGCTAAGAAAGCAGTGCCAGGAAATCAACCCTACTCCGGCTTTCTGTTCGCCAAGCTACCCGACTCTTCCATGGCTATTTAATCATAATCTGTTCAAATTTCCCCCATTCTCACAAGAGAGCAAAACTATTTTTACCAAGTTAATCTTTTATCCAACATTTGAGTAATAGATATTCTGGCCAAGTTTCAATTGTGATAGTGGGCTTGGGGGGTGGGGAGAAAGAGGAGACTGTACAAATGCACAAAATAAACGTTACTATAGTTCTTTCAGCGGAAATAACATTTTAAACATAATTTAGGGGATAGTATGTCACAAAGGCAGTCAATCGCTTGTAAGACAAGCTATAGGAAATTGATCAACAAGGCTGTCAGATGTTTACGATGCGGAAAATGAGTAAAATCATTACCGTTTCACATTATATTTAGGTTTTCTTCTCGAGCTTACTTCCGAGTTGAAAATAATAGCAACTGTGGGATCGCGGGGATGAGAAAGACAGGGAGAGGGGAGCAAGACATAACCACTGGGCTGTCATGTGGTGAGAGATCCGGATTAGATTCAACTTCCAGGAGTGATTTAGTTCTCAGGGGATATCTAAAATAGGAAATTAACATGGAATTCTCCTAGCAAGTCAGGAAGGTCCCTTTATTAGTTACTTTCCTCACCATCCTTTTACTAATAATTAACACAGGATGGCTCATCTTATTTCAAATCAATAGAGGCACCAGATGATGAAATAACACAATCAACACTGATTTACTGGAACAATTGAAATATTTCTGCCCTAATGCATCATCCCTTCTTTTTTATTTTAAGCTGGTCCAACCTCTGCAAACAGATGCCACTTGCAAATTGTGGTGACATTAGTGATGTGTCAATTGGCTGTGTAAGGTGTTCAAAAGCTGTGACACCTTATGAACGAACGACCTATCCTATTCTCAAAACGGTTATTCTGTCAATGCTTAAAATACTTTGAGCATGTAAAATTAAGTTTAAAGAGCAAAAAAAAATGTGATTGGAATGTGATCCTTCCAGAAATGAGATCAACCATGGCATGAACAGAGTGTACAGACTAACATCTTCAGCAAGCTTGAACTTTTTCCCCAGGTGACAAAAAACATCGATAACAAATTTTCACATCAGTTTAATTTCCCAAAGAAAATTTTCTTGGTCAATACATAAAACAGTCAACCAGGAGCTCTACCCTTTAACTAAGCTCTTTGATTGACCTAATGCAGAGGCATTCTGTAATATTCTTGAGCCACCCGTGCAAATGCCAAAATGGCCAGACAACTGTCTGGGAGAGGAAGAACCGGGGGGGGGGGGGGTTTTTAAGAAAAGGAATTTTCATACTTGGGTTTTAGAATTAGAAAAATTCTACACGAATGCTCTCCTTTGGGTTTTAAGAGTTAGGCAGCTTACGAACACGTAGAGCTCTTATGTAGGATATCACTTTTTCTTGTTCACCCAGACACAAACACAACCTAGACCAACATCGAGCAGAACCCCAGTAATGGAAATAATTGGTGTCACAGCTTTGGACATAAGAAGAGCCCCACGATAATCCCAAGTGCCTTTAAAACAAGAGAGATGTGATCTCAGTAAAAACATCTAATGGAGAAAAACCAATGTTTCAATTCTCCATTCTTCTAACAAGTCTTTATGGAATGTCTACTATGTGTAAGGATATTCTACACTATGACATGATATTCAAGTCAATGAATACAGTCTCAAAGCCACTTTTTTTTCTAAAAATGCAAAATAAAGGTTAAATACTTCTAATGGATCCACATGAGAAATTTCAAAGACGGGTGGAGGACTTTTATCGTCACCACCCACTTTGTGATTATTCATGAACTGGCAAATAAAGATGACTTCTGCTTTTGTAACTCTAAAATGTTTCCTCCGTGTATCGCAAGGTCAGGAAACATAAACTTGGGGAAGCAGCCTGATGCACTTGAGCCCAGAGTAAGTATTTGGATCTTCCCCTAGAGTGAACTACTTGATAAAAGTAATTAACATGAAATGTAGGTGGGATTGGTAGAAGATCTTACATTTGGCTTCTAAAAAAACAGGTTACATCACTTGGAATATTTAGCTGAGACAAGAGAAGACTTAGAAAGGACATCATAGCTATTTTCAAACGCTCACAGAATATTCAGAGAGAGAGAAATTAGCCTTGCTTGGTGTTGCTCCAAACTTCAGAACCAAGGAAAAAAGAATAAAAAAGAAGCTACCATTTTAAACATAGAACTACCATATGACCTAGCACTTCAGATATATACTCCCAGTATGTGTGTGTGTATATATATATATATATATACATACATATATTACATATATATACATTATATTATATATATTATGTATATTACATATATAATATTATATATATTATGTATATTACATATATATATATATATATATGTATACTATATATACACACACATCCAAAAGGATTGAAAGCAGGGACTCGAACAGATACTTGCACACCTGTGTTCATGACAGCATTATTCATAACGGCCGAAAGGTGAAAACAACCCAAGTGTCCATCCACAGATGAATGGATAAACAGAAAGGGGTACACACACGCAATCATGTGCCTTAGAGAGGAACAGAATCCAGATACCTGCTACAACATGGATGGACTACGAAGACATTAGAAGCCAGACACAGATCAAATATTGGATAATTCCACTTATATGAAGTACCTCGCATAGGCAAACCTATAGAGATAGAGAATAGATGTTTCCGGGGGCTGGAGATAAGGAGGAACGGAGTTGTTATTTCATGGGTACAGAGGTTTTGCTGGGGACAAGGAGAAAGTGGTGGGTATACATGTGGTGATGGTTACACAACACTGTGAATGGATTTAATGCCACTGAATTGTACGTCTAGGAAAGGCTAACATGACGAATATTATGTTATGTATATTTTATCACAGTAAAA